TGAGTGCTTTGTGTTGAAAGAGACCTTAAAATCTCCTCAATCCAACCCCCCTGCACAGGCAGGAAAACCTTGCCCTAGACAAGGATGTTCCACATCCAAACTGCTATTTTCCTACTGGACCACAGAYCCAAACCACCTGCAGATTTCAGTATCTTCCTCCAGAGATCTTTTTGCAGTCTCATGCATTCAGCCAATCTCCCAACACAGGCTGCAGTCTGCATCACAAAGGTCACAAGTCATAATGGGAGCCCTCAGATTCTGAGCTTCTTTCTCTTTTAAGTTCTTGTCTTCATCCACAAGGGGCAGCTCTATGATTTCTCTCCGATTCATACATTTTCATACACTCTGATGGCAAAAAATTAGTGCTTGATACTCAGAGTCTTCTGCTCCAGAGAAAACTTGTGCATTACTCCCTTCCCCAAAACTAACACTATTTCTTCTTCTTCCCCTGTCAAGCTGATTGGCTCAACTTATTCCGGRGATATGGAAAAAGAGAAGGATTTTGTAAAGAAGTACCCTCAGCTCATTGAGGAACTCGAGCAGAGCCAGGCTGTCCTTGAAGACTACAAGAAAATGGCTAAATATACCCGTGGCCATTTGAACCCCAGCAGCCACCACAACACCTATGGCACCAAGTTGCCGACCTTCACCCTCACCAACATTGTGCCTCAGAATCCAAAATTCAACAACGGCCCCTGGAATGAATACGAGGGGCAAATGATGAAAGACGAGAGCGAGGGATGTACAACCACCTACGTTATCACGGGTGCTGTGCCGGGGAAACCCCACACCCCTGGGGAAAGGGTTAACATACCCAGCCAYATCTGGTCGGCTGCCTGCTGCCCAGCTGAGAGTAAGGCTTGGGGAGTCATTGCTGAGAACAACAGTGAGAGCCAGGTCACGATCCTCACTCTGAAGGAGGTGGAGGACACATTGACCAACCTCTATGGGAAGGGAAAGGTTTCTCTGTTCCACAGTGCCTGTCCTCGCCAATAAGCCTGACATGCTGGCTGGAATAGACTCAGAAGCTTTTGCCACATATCACAGAATCACAGAAGGGGTTGGGTTTGATGGGACCTTAAAAATTATCTTGCCCTGACCCCATGCCTGGGGGAGATAAATCTCCCACTATCCCAGGTTGCACCATGCCCTGTCCAGCCTGGTCTTGAACATCTCCAGTGATGGGGCAGCCAAAACATGTCTGATAGCTTTTGCCTGTAGTGCAGCATGCCCACAGTAATTAACTTCTTTATAATATCTATCCCCATCATTCATCAGTGTGAAACCATTACCTCTTGTCCTGTCACTTACCATAGTCCAAAGTTTCTCTCCACATGTCTGAGAGATTCATTAGCTACTGGACTCCMAGGAGCCTTCTCCAGGCTGAACACCCACAGCTCGCTCACCCTCTCTCCAGAGCTGATGTGCTCCAGCCCTTGCAGCACCTTCATGGCCTCCTCTGGACTCCACTCCAACAGCTTTGTGTCCTTCTTGTGCTCTGGGCC